AAAAAAAAAAAAAAAAAAAAAAAAAAAAAAAAAAAAAAAAAAAAAAAAAAAAAAAAACAGAAATTGTACAAATACCAATGCTCATTCGCATCGTATTATCGTAATTCATAAATTCACGTTATTGGATGCGGGATCGATTATTTTTATTACTTTTTTTAAACATAACACAAAAAATTGATGTTAACTGAATTGATTTTATAGTGCCTTTGTCATATCACGAGGCACATGGGTACACAAATATATAATTTGGCTTGCAACGCAAGCTAAAGTCTATAAGTCATTGATTTTGCAAGTTCATTAAATGATGCGTTGTAAGATTCAGTGCGCTCGATATGGCGTTCGTGTTGAACTATTAACAATTTCATGTTTTAGTTTTTTCTTTTGTTTATTTTGTATTTTATGTACTATTATGTTATTTTTCATTGCAAGGTACTTGTGATTTTGTTACTTTTTGAATACTTTTTGCTTATTTATTATGTATTACTATGATTTTTATAAATTAAAGTGATTACACAATAAATTTTATTATTATAAATCTGCCTTACTTTGTTACTAATATCACCTTATCCTTATTCTATTCTAGAGTCACATGTTTTAGTTCAAAAAAATTACTCCATTTTATTTTTATGTATCCTTACCTACAATTATGAGATACAATTTTAAGCACTGTCGTAAGTTGTAAAGAAATCGTATTATTGAAGATTTCATTTAGCAAGTTTTTTTTCTTAAACTCGTTGTCACAATACTGGAATTATGTTTTACAGCAATATTTTTAAAACCTTTTTATATGCTAATCTCTGTTTCTTTAGTATTTTTACTTAAAATAGGATATACAAACATTATTGACAAATGAGACATAAAATTATCTTTTCATGAGCTAAATTGCTATTTCTATGTGTTTTTGGGGGTTACATGATGTGTTGATAACTATACAGTATTTTATTATTTTTTCAAAATGGATGCTACGTCAGTTAAACTCAATATAATATGTCCTAGACATACCATCATAATTTTTTTTACCATACAAAGTTAGAGTGAACTCGTGAATAATAACTTGAAACATTTTTGCACTGACTATTTTTTTTATTTCAGTGCAAACATTTTTTATGTTTTTATTCACGAGTTAGAATAGTAGTACATAATGATGGTATCTGGGGCATATGATTTTCGGTTTTGCTGATTATAACACTGTTTTTTAATAAATAATACAAAACATGGAGATATCCCACACAGTGAATGTGAAAATAAGCCATGTTTTTGATCATCGGCTCAGTAAATATTTGGTGAAATAATCTTAGATCTTTGAGAGATACGACTCTATAATAAAAATCAACAAAAAAGATAGACTAAAGACGTACACTTAAATTGAAAAAAACATTATTTTGAGACCGAAATATTATGACATAAAATAGAGATATATAAACAAAGATTTTAAAATACTATTGCAAATTATGAAAATAATTAACAGAAAGAAGGACATAAAAGGTTTATTAATTAAGATATGTACCGATAGAAAGATGGTAAAAGAAAAAAGACTATAGAACGCAAAGAAAAAACTAAGCCATAAGAATCAAGGTACAAAAATAAACTGGACTAGGCGAAAAATAAAAAGTAAGAGCAATGGTTACAAAGCCATTTATCACTGAAAAAAAATTTCATCAAATTAAGATTTTTTTCCTTTTAGCAAATATGAGATAACTTATTAATCTAATACTAAATAAAAATAAAATTGGTTGGTTGAGCAGGACTATTAATTATTACATAAAACTACAACTGTCCAATATTTCAGCAATTTAGTAATGACATCATCAGGGACTTCTTACTGTAAAAAATAACGTGAGTGGTCGAATAATAACATTGCACTAACAACCTTCGTGGCCCAACAATATACTTACAATATTAATGCCATATTGAAAATCAATTGTTTCGCAGCATAATAAAAATCTTTCTTAAATACAACTCAGTTAAGAATTATAAAAATATTTCTTAAGAAGCATTTTATTTGATTTGGTTCTTACATTGTAAACACGCAAAATTTTTTTAGTTAAGAGAATGTTTATTGAAAAAATAAAATATATAATTTATTTTATTTTAACTAAAAAAGATTGT